CAAATTAACCCTTTGCTCCTCTCTTACTCCTTTACTAAAAGACACCTCCGATTTTTCATAATTGATTTTTTGCCCCGAAGCTGCTTCATACTGGTTGAGAATTTCAACAATGAGTGAGCACTCCGTTCGATTGGCCCTAGTAAAATCCGCAAAAAGGAGATGAGAAATTCCCGGCCCATTCCTGCTAGCCTTTACTCCATGAATGTTGCCCTTTTCCATATTATTTTGGTTCATATGAGAAAAGGCATCGGCTACAATAATGAAAAGGTAGGGAGATAAAGGATCACCCTGGCGCAAACCTCTCGAAGGAAAGACCGAACCACAAACCTCGCCATTAATAATAAAAAGAGTACTTCACTGATTGTACCAATGACATCACCATATTCACCCACCTCCCATCAAACCCCATTTTCAGCATCAATTATCTCAGAAAGCCCCATTCAACTCTATCATACGCCTTACTCATATCGAGTTTCATTGCAATGTGCCCCTTCTTCCCTGTGCTCCTATTTTTCATAGTGTGAAAGAGCTTCATTGCAATCAAGGCATTGTCAGTAATTAATCTTCCCGGCACAAAAGCACTCTGATTCTCCGAAATAACAATACATAAAATATCTTTTAAGAGCAAAACAATACACTTGGAGATGAGCTTGTATATCACATTACAAAGACTAATTGGCCGAAAGTCAGCCGGAATTGAAGGATCTTTAATTTTTGGAATTAAAGCAATATTAGTCCTATTAATGTGATCAGGGAGGGAAGTACCATTTAAAATTTCACACACAAATTTTGTTACCTCGTCACCGACAATGTGCCAAAAACGTTGATAGAAGATTGCATGCATTCCATCCGGACCCGGGGCTTTGCTAGGATGCATATGTTTGAGCGCCACATGAACACCTTCTTTTGTATAAGGCCTCAATAAAGTAGCATTCACTTCACTAGTTACTGACTTTTGTACACAATTGATCACAACATAAGTATCATGATTTGTGGGGTTAGAAGTGGAAAAAATTCCACTAAAATAGTCACTAATAATGTTAGGAAAATCTTCCTCATCTTCATACCAAACCCCATTCTCATCACGTAAGCCCCTGATAGTATTCTTCTTTTGACGTTGTGACGCTTTGTGGTGGAAATAGCTCGTGTTTTTATCACCATCTCTGATTTCGGCAACCCGGGATCTCAAGTGCCAATAAGCTTCACATCTTTCATTCAACTCATCTAGTTGTTGTTCAAGTCTGGCATTCTCAATGCAATTTTCTTCTGTTGAAGGGCGACTCTAAACCTCCTTAAGGGCAGCTTTGGTTGTACTCACTTGCTTCCCCAGATTATTACAAAGATCTTCACCCCACCTCACAAGGCCTCTGCTCACTGCCGCAATTTTTGCCATCACATTTCCACTTGTAGGATCCCCCCAGGCAGCCTTCACTACTTCCTCACATCCATCTTCTAACAGCCAACACGTCTCAAATTTAAAGCTTTTCTTTTTCTTCTTCTTCTTTTTCTTAGTTGGAGCTGTGGAAAAAAGGATAGGTGTTTGATCAGATTTGTACCTCAAAAGATGTTCAACCTCAGCATCTCGAAACATGGAACACCAAGAATCAAACCCGAAAAAGCGATCAAGCCTCTCACGAACTTGGGATGCAGGAGTTCTACCCCTTTCCCAAGTGAACCAGTCCCCCTTGAACCCCAAATCTTTAAGACCACATTCATCGACAACCTCCCAAAAAGGTTCCATCTCCCTTCTTACATTGTCAGCCCTTCCCTCCCTCTCAGAGTAAGTCATGATTTCATTAAAATCCCCGCCTAGCATAATCGGATTGTAGTGTCACACAAATTCCTTATAAGATCCCAAGTATGAAATTTCTCCTCGGTTTTTGGCCACCCATAAACATCAGCAAACCGCCAACTCACACCTCCACCACTCCAAACATCACCGCAAATGTGATTTTGTGAGAAAGAAATTATTTGAAAATCCACATTTTCACGCCAAAAAATACATAGCCCTCCCGAAGTACCTATACTAGACACACTAAAAGCTCCATGAAAACCAAGCGAATTTTTTTAATTTTCCATCACATATGCTGCCATCATCGGTTTCAAATAAGAATAGCAGCTTTGGGCAGAGTTTGCGACTCCATTTACGGAGCTCTCAAACTGACCGAGGATTGCCCATACCTCGGCAGTTCCAGGCAAGCACATTCATTGGGCTTGGCGGGGTTGGTCATCTCCAACCTCCGCCAATGGCCCCGTGCCAGTCAATGAGACAAGAATAATTATTTTCTTCGAGACATGGTTATCACCTTCTGCTTCTAACACTTCATCTATGCTCCTCTTCCGCATAATTTTCTCATAACACACCGAGTGTACACCTCCTACTCCTTGTCTAGCAAATCTATTCCATGTTCTAAGACAATTATTATCTTTCCCCTGCTTGTCCTCTGTACCTTTACCATCTAATTCAGCTTCATCTGCTACAATTAATTCATTGACATGCTGAATTGAGTCATCCTCATGAGGAGTCCCTTCCAACTCGCAGCATACGGCTTCAGCAGACTCAACAGATAAACCCGTCTGCTTTTCAGTCTCTTTGTCTTCAATAGTATCAGGTATAGGTTTCTGAATTTTGGTAATTGCAACCTCTTTCAACTTTGCAGCTACTTCATTGATTTGATGGGCCCCAATACTTGGTTTCGTATGTTTTTTAGTGACAAACAAACGCTTTGCTGTTTTTGAATTCTCATCCAACTTCCTAGCTCCTACCACTTCATTGCAGTCCTTATCCCCGTGCTCGAGCATACCACAAATATAACAGAATACAAGAAGCTTTTCGTATTTAACTTGCACAGACATTACACCTCTACCAGTATTCAGTTCTATCGAATCTTTCAAGGGAGTTGTGACATCAAGGGCAACACGAATTCTTAGAGACTTATTGAAACCAATAACATCAGATTTATCAATGGCCAAAAAAGTTCCAATTTTGTCTCCAATTCTCCTAGCATTAGTCTCATTATGTCAGCCTTTAAATGGTAGGTCATAAATTCGGACCCTAAAAGGAACTTTTGTCAAAGTAATTTCAGAAGGTTTAATGTTACCTTTGACGTCATCGAGGACCAGAACATGATGATCAAAGTGCCACGGCTGCGAGTCCATAACAAATTGCTTATCCTCATGATGGAATTGGAAAAAGAATGTCTTATCTCCTATCTCGTTCGCCTCACAACCATGTTTAGGGTTCCATATATTCTTCATGGTCGTTATTAGAGCCTTAGAATTAACATTGCGTGATGTCCAGATCTTACCTACCACTGCAAGTAAAATTTGATCCTCCTCCTCCCCATCCGCCTCTTCCATCCAGTCAATCGCATTATTATCAACCTCCTTTTCGTCTTTCACGTTCTTTTCTCCATCTACAACTGCCAAACTATCACCATCAGCCATCTTGATCCAGAATTAGATCAAAACTTGGCCTAAACTTCGAGATTAAAGCAAGATCTAGCAAAGAAAACTAGAAGAAAACCCTCCCAAGTGCAAACCCTAAAGTTGCTCTAGAGGGAACAAAAGTTTTTCATATACTTATAAAATATGCTTTTTTGGATTTAAACGGAGGGAGTATTTGAGAAAAGGAAAAATAAAGGAAAATTAATACTCCTCTATTTCATAATGTTAGTCCCATATACTAATTTAGGCGTTTCAAAAAGATCTACCCATATTCATTTTAAACTTAGTTTTATTTCTTATTTTATACATATTGAATTCTAATTGGTTAAATTAATTAATTGTTATTTGATGTCATGGCACTAAGTAAGGAAATTCTACCCTTGAATTATGCAATTATGGCTAATATTTTTCAATAAATAAATAAGAAAAAATTAATTTCAAACAATTTTGTACATTAATTTAGATTCCAAATATTATTCTTTTCTTATTTCATGTGATTAATTCCATATGAGACTATCATATTGAAATGGAGGGAGTACTTTTAAATCAAATTTACTTTTTTTTTTTAATAGCAAAAATATTTCATTAATTAAAAGTCATACGACATCTACAATATAGATCCGACATTAACAAATACATAAGACATTGAATCAAATAAAATTTTCCTTCATAAAAACTACGATCGTCGAGTAGATCTTGCACTGTGGAACATCTCCCGCTTATATCGCTAGAAAATACAGCCTTATTGGAGGGACAATCTAACGATCCTTTGTAGCCGTGAGGATGTTTTTTTTTTTTTTTTTCTGATTCATCTGTGTGCATTCGAAAACTTGATAAATTTTTCACCAACGAGATAATTTCACGACAATTCATTGGATCTAATATCATGGATTCAAAACTAAGAAATTTCTCTCCCGAAAAGAGGAGATAAACCTTGTCTTTCGAAGGAGGCCGGAAACCTTTTCTTTCGAGGGAGAAAAGTTCCTCCCAAAAGGAGAAGCATTATTATAAAACCTAAAAAAACTTTAAAGAAACTAGGATTGGGGCTTTTCACCGGTTAAAACCGATGAAAGCCCCTTTAAAATTCAACAATGGAGGCTAGAGTTTAAGAGAGAGGAAGGAGGAGAGAGGAGAGATTTTTTATTTACTTATAAGGCCTACCCTACCCCATAATTAGACGATTATAAAGGCCCGCCCAATTTATTTTTACTAGAGTGTACCCGTGCAAAATACACGGGATGCATAAAAAAATATCTAATAACAAAATTATATTTCAAATACCTGAAAATGACTTTTATATAGTTCTCGATATATAATAAAATTATATTTCAAATATGTTAAGTTGATTTATATATATCTATAATACTCGGTATATAACAAATAGGTAGTTTTTTTGGGTAGTTGGGTGTTATCGGGAAAAATAATAGCGGAAGTTAAGAGAGGTGGAAGTTGTTTGGATGCCAAATAAATTAATTAATTAATTAAAAAAAAAAAAAAAAAAAAAAAAAAAAAAAAAAAGAGAGAGAGAGAAGAGTGCGTGAGAATCAAGTGTTGGGAAGGATTGTGGTGAAGTGTTGCAAAATTAACTCTTATTAGACGGATCCAAGCCATTTATAACTATGGCGGGTCATGGCTTTTAACAAGGCTCTATTTCTACCTCTCTCAGTTATTCCATTGAAGCGCACTCAACGTTCTCCATTAAAGCGCAGTTCACGTTCTCTGTTGCTGTATCCCCCATTGAACAAGCTTCTAAGGTAAATTGTTTGTTGTTGTTATCATCATATCAATTTCACAATCTAGGGTTTATATTTTATCTAGTCTAATTTAATCATCAGTGCTTTAAGTTTAGGGTTCGTAAATCTCAACTATTGGTTCTAAATTCTTAGATTACAAACATCATAAATCTCAACTATTGGTTTTGAATTCCATAAATGTATTTTTCGATATAATTGAATATGAAATTAGATATTTTTCGTTAAGGTTAGGACCGAATTATGAAATTGGATCTTTTTTCCCAAAATAATGTGATTGTTTGAGCTTAAGTTGATAAATAAATCAAATTTGCTTGTAATAATACTATTATGAAATTGTTTTTTACTCTCACTATATGATGCTCGCGAACCCCCACAGTCGGCATGGATGCGGTGGAGAAGCTGGTGGCGCAAATCCAAGGGCTATCTGGTAGCGTAGGAGATTTGAATCAACTACACCTTTTCCTCAAACAAGCTGAAGACTCTCTTCGTCACAATTCCTCTCGGTTGGCTCCTTTTCTTCATCAACTCGATCCTTCAGTGCATTCGCTCGGTTATCTCTACTTATTGTAAGCCCCTTTCTATTTCCAACTTTATTTTATTTTGTGTACAATTAGTTTTGCGATGAGATTGAAGGATGACATTGTGTTATTGTAGTTAGTATTTTTTTTACTGATATGATTGTTCGTAAATTTAGCATGTTTTGAGTTTGTTTCATATGAATCTTGCTATTTTTTTAATTATTGTTGGAATGAAGTAGTCATAATTAGCTTTTCATGCGTCACCACAATTAATTCAGGGATGATTTTGATATATGCTATGAGTTTTTTTGAATTTCTACTATCGTCATGATTATATACTTCCTCTGTCAAAGTGTTGCGATTTTTTGAAAAGGAGGAAGTAGTATTTTTTGCGTTGGCAAGGGTTAAAATTATATATATAATCTGACTGCGAGTTTCCCTGTTCACGCTGTTATTTCATTGGCCGGGGAAGGGAGGGGGGGGGGGAGGGGACGGGCGGTGGCTCTTATTTTCTTGTAACCACATTGTTAGGAGTTCTATCAAAGTATAAGCATTTGAGCTCAAGCTTTGAATGTTAAGAACAATTTCGGCTCATATTTGTTTGATGATAAATGAAATCGGTTAGCTTCCACCTTTACCTCGTAAACATTATCCCTGCAATGGTGTAAAACTTTCCAATCTTATGAAGGACACTTCGGGATGTTGTATCCTATCATTGGAATCAGATAAAACCAAACCACTTTTTATAATCTCCAAATTAATTAAAAGCTACCAATGCTTGCTTTATAATCAAATCCCACCATCTTCATCCAACCAATTGAGTATCACGAGTAGGCAATTCCAAGTCCTTCTGTACCGTGTACTAGCTACAACATTAGGACATTATCCCCTATCCTCAATCATCGAGCAAAGCTTACCATTCACCAAACTTGTGCGGAACAAGCTCTCTCGCTACTAATTCTCTTCAAGTAGTGTCGTTTCCATGTGTAAAGACCTCAAAATCTTCACATGCCAAGTTTCGTCCTTTCCATTTGCCACAATAGTTGAGAACATCCTTTCCATTATCAAACCTGATATGTGATGTCTTGTACAAAGTAAGAACACAAGCCTCTTCTTCCTTTTCTTCCTTTGCCGCATCATTAAAGCTTGGTAATCCTTTGAGGTTTCTTTCTATGCTTGACATTGCTGAGCAATATGATCATGTCCTTACACCTGAAGCATTGTTTATCCTTTATAGCTAATTGTCCTTGTGTTAAGGTTGAGACTCGGAGTTGCTAATTTCCATGAATCCACTAGAGCTTGAGACCTTTTTTTTTGGACAGGCTTTTGGATTTGTTCGATTGTCCTTCAATTTTGTTTGCCAAAGTTCATGCCTCATCAAACGACTAAAATTTTGTTGCAATTCTACTTGATTTGCAATCTCATTATCTAGGTCATTCGAGAGCAATTTTATGTTCATCCCTGACTTTACATTCACATGCTAATGATAATCTTTGTAATTCATTGACATATTGCTCTATAGTCTAGCAATTTTGTTGTAAACAATATTTCTTTTGTTACTTAGGCACATAGTATAAGAAAAATATATAGGTTGTGGATCAAAGTGAGGATTTTACAATAAAACCCTAGCTATTTCTCTGAAACACTAGCTTGGTCTCTTATGATTTTAATTCAAGCTGACAATTGATTTTTTAACCTATATATATGTTTATTAATGCCTAATGGCTTCTTACTGATAAAAATTTAGTTAATCATGGGAGGAAGATTTTGTGAAATGCACTGACATCTCCTGGCAATTGGCAAGGGCCAGGGGGCAGAGTGTTTATTGCTGTTTCTGAAAACCATCCTTTTTATATGAATCCAGAACCAACCTCTTGGATTTGTTAACGCCAAATATCCAGAGGATCACTTTATGTAGTTCTAGAAAAGGTGTGCAAAAGCTGGTGTTGGTGGTTCTTTACCACATTTTAGCTTCAACCATGTCTTTTTTAGTACCTAACATGTTTGTAAGTTAGCTGGGTACTGTATGAATTTATTGTTTTTATCATTTTTTTAATGTATAGTGATATGGCGGTACCTATGTGCTATGGGACTCGGATGAAGTGTCCAATTAGACACGGGTGTCCAAGTATCGGACTCGCCCATTTTCTTGAAAAAAATTGTGTTTTTAGTTAAAAATGAAGTGTCCAAGTGTCGGTGTCGGTGTCGGTGTCCGACACGAGTCGTGTCGACACGGACACGTGAGGTAAATGAAAGAGTCCGAGTAACATAGCCTATGTGTATGATGCCAAGCAGGACTTTTCTATTTTCTTTTTCCCTTATTCACACATGTAATCTCCCTTTTCTCAAGAATAATCTTAGATTTTATCTATGTAATTTACAGGGATGCTTATACACATTCAGTATCAAGAGATGGAGCTAATGAGGTGGTTCTATTGGTGGCTAGATTTATTAGCTCTTGCCTTGCTGAGCAGATCCAACTTGCACAACATAAGTGTACGTATTTGTATAAGGATATATATTTAGTCAAAACTTGGTAGTCTTGTAGGTATAATCTGACTATTTGAAACTTTTCTTTGGCAGTTATTAGTGTCTGCAAGAGGTTTAAGGACCACCTTATAGTCCTTGAGGCTCCCATGAGAGGTGTTGCCCCAATGCTGACTGCTATCCGTAAAATTCGCCCTTCTTCTGAGCATCTGACTACTCTGCACCCCGACTTTCTTCTTCTCTGTATATTAGCAAAGTGCTATAAGAGTGGTCTATCCGTGTTAGAAGATGATGTCTTTGAGGTTGACCAGCCCAGGGATCTATTTCTCTATTGTTACTATGGGTGAGTTGCTACTATCATTGGTCTTGAATTTTGTTGACGTTGTCCTATCTCTATGCTTCTCTAACATAATTTGGTTTGACCTTGTCCCTTACCATGAAACTTTATGAATTAATGACTAACTATTCGTGCCAACGATAGGAAATAAAAGCAGGTACATTATGCATTTTAAGGATCTAGAAAGTTGGGAACTCTGTAGGATATTTATTTGATCTTTTGACAGATATATATATATATATATATATATATATATATATATATATATATATATATATATATATATATATATATATATATGGACTAAGGCATTTTAGAGATAATTCAGTCATGGCAACCTTATCTTGATTAAGAATTTGAGATTGTGAATTGAGAATAGAGAATCACATCCTAGTTCCTAGGCGCAATTTAACTTTGAAAATCAATCTTACACTGATTATAGTGTTACTGGTGGTGCCTGATGAGATGAAAGCTTCAACTATACTGTTATGCTCAGAATTGAATTTCTAGATTTGGTATAAATAATTGATTGCATTGATGGTAGAAAATAAGTGTTGGCAAGCTTGAAAACCCCAACGTTGCAATTAAAAAAGAATGGAGGATATATGACTACACTAAGGTCCTAACTGGCCAACATTGGGAAGAAAAAAAAAAATCAAAACCATTTGCAGAGATGCTTTCCAAATTTTTATCATATACATTATTAAGCTTTATCTTTCTTTCTGCAGATTGAGGTACTCAAAGTGACTCTGTCTAGTTATGTCAGACATCAGATTTCCTTGTGTTTGTTTTGAATGTAGTTTTATTATGAATTCAGATGAAATTATTTACTTTTTCCACTGGACTTGGGAACTTCTATGGTGTACCCTCCCATCTGAAAGAGAAATTGCTTTTTCAGATTTATTGTTAACAAGTGCCTCTTTATTTTCCTTTACATTACTTTTGTTAATTTCTATTTTTAGATTGGAGATTTTGACGTTGTGTAGAATAAAAAAGCTAACTCTTTTTTTTTTTTTTTTTATTATATTTACCCCTTTAGTTTTTCTTTGCATTACTTTTGTTCATTATCTTATTAACTTGGAGATTTTGTTGGATAAAAAAGCTGAAATTATTTGAGCTTTCATTGTGAGTAAAAATCACCCACCTCAATCAAATTAGATTGTTGAATTGTGATGAACCGAGTATTTTGATTTTTAATGGTAGGGGAATGATCTGTATTGGACTTAAGAAGTTTGAGAAAGCATTGGAGCTTCTTCGCAATGTGAGTTTTTTCTTTGACTTAGAGTCCTATATTATTTCTGATTTCTCAACTTATGAAAATTGCTTTTATTCTGTAAATTTAAATTTGATGTTATGCATGATGAGAGTTAAGGCACAGTTTATTCTCTTAGTCCCTGTGATTATGGTGCTATTACAATATTTTTTGCAGGTTGTTACTGCTCCCATGTCTACATTAAATGCAATAGCTGTTGAAGCATACAAAAAGTACATATTGGTTTCACTAATCCACCATGGGCAGGTACTTATCTCTGTAAATTAGTGGGTTTGCATTTCTTTCTTTGGTACCCAGAATCTAGATTTCAAGGTGCTAGCTCTGACAATTACATGTCTGGTGGCAGTTCAACACTCATTTTCCTAAGTATACATCTACGGTTGTTCAAAGGAGTATCAAGAATCTAACTCAGGTAATGTTAAGCACATGAGTAAAGAAATTGCATTCTTTGTTCTGTTGACAAGAATTTGATGATTATGGGGTTGGGGGAAGGGAGAGGGAAAGACATTTTTCATAACTTGCTGATGCTTCACCTACCACCTTCAGTCACAGTACATGATATTTGACTACAGGTCCACGCTACGGTTGATTATAAATTTATGGTTGTATTCAATATTACCTTTTTTAAAAAAATTTAAAAAATAGTGCATCTATTTTTTTTTCAATAATAAAGTCAAACGTTAAAAAGGTGTGTAAAGGTAATGATATTCGTATACTTAATATTCTACATTGTTTCGCATAATAATCATTTGTCAAAATTAATGTATTTTTACAATAATCTTGTTATGCTATCTAGCTTTCAAGAAATTATTAATAATACCTTATACAATAATGACTTTACGATAGGAGATGGCATGAACAATTAATGTGTACTATACACTCTTTCAAATGATGGAAAAAGTAAACGACAATACTTTATGTAATTGACCACAATGAAGTTCAACAATATTTATAAAATTTTCATATTGTACCATATTTTAATCTACATTAAAATAACTTTATACATAAATCAAACCTATTGATTACTGCCAAAGAAACTACAAAGATACTACATGAAGGTAGAAAGCTATAAATGGAAGGTAGAAATGTTGCGCCACTACTTATAATTTTTTGCGTCGTAAAATTTTGTGTCATTTGACAACCACTACCCTTGTCACTGACCTCTACCTAATCCCCTACGTTGCCAAACACCTTAAATTTTAAGTTGAGTTTTGAATTTCACCTCTAATCTCCGAGTTTTTTTTATTGGGGTTTTGTCATAACTAGAACATAACTGTGACATAGAACCTCTTCTATCAACAGTGAACTTCCGGAAATTGAGTTTTATCTAATCTTGCTTCAAAAATAAGGCTTTGTTCTTTTTGCATTAAATTTTCTGCATCTAAACTTATCTGAATCTGTTAGCACTTTGTTGACATTGTGTAGAATTATTTGCCCTGAGATAACCTTTAACTTGAATGTAATTTAAGGACGTAGTAGTAAAAAAAGAACTCTTGGTAACTCTTTTTCAGACTTAGTTTGAACTTGAACCTAATTGTCCTAAGACTTATTATTAGGTTAAACGGACAAGGCCTTAATCTGCTGCAAAAAATTAACACACTACGAAGGGGAAAAAAAAAAAGACTTAGTGCAAGTTTAGGTCCAAGTCTTGGGGTGACATCATCATTTTAAGTCTTAAGACTTATGCTTAAGACTTTTCCCATTTTTCTTCAAAAATCTCAAGCAAGTCTCAAATTGAGTCTTGAAATTTCAAGACTCAACTTAAGACTTGAGATTGGGACCCACTACTCACACCTCACTTTTATTTTTATTATCCCTTTTTTTTTTCCTTACACTTTTCTACATATAATTATGTCAAATATTTAAGTCTTAGGGCTAAAGTGATAAATTTGTGTAAATCTTAGTGAGTCCTAACAAGAATTTGATGACATCATTTTCAATGGGGACCACAAAAATGATGTCACATAGACTTGGGGCTAAACTTGCTCTGGACCCATATAATAAATCAGCTTTTGAAACAAATTCCAAGTGTTAAGGCATGCCTTAAACTCTTAATGTAGCCTAATAACTTATCAAGGAAAGACCAAAAGAGCTAGCCAGTGGGTAAAATCAGATCCTTTTGTTTCAAATATTTTCAACTTTGGGAATAGGATTTGGAGCTCTTTCATGTAATGTGCATTATGCTCCCATTTGTAGAGATAAAATCATCATGTGTGTTATGCTTTTTTTTTTTTTGGTTTGTTTGTTTGTTTGTTTGTAGTATGCAAGTACTTTATTTGTACTCTTTTCTTGAGTTGATACTTTTCTTGTGTTACCATTGGATACATCCTAACCACCACAATCAATTCAAAATTGATTTATAAGAACAGAGATAGGAAAAAGAAACTAAGTTCAATTGACAACATGATGATAATGGTCCAAAGTCATGGTTTTGTTGCTTTTGTCGGACATGATATGATGATAATTTGATTAATAATGCTCCTAGATGCCAAAGAGATAACAACTAGTGGTTTCCAGACAATGAAGGAAAGGTCATTAGAGCATGAAACAATATGGATTATTTTTGGAGGGAAGTCTTTAGAGAATGCAAGTTACAGTATGATTTTTGGGAGTTGTAGGGCTGACTGACTGAGGTAGAAGTGAGATTCATGAGGTTTGGGAAGACCCCCCCCCCCCTCCCCTTTTTTTTTTTTTGAAATAAAGGGGCATTGAACCAAACAGAGGAACCTGTTCTTTTCCTGCCAGCCCTATATAAACACCACTTTGACTTTGATGCTATGATTGAGTAAACGTCATGGTGTTGGACTTGGCTGTCCTTTTTACGTGTGGTTATATGAATATTCAAGGAATATGGCTTCGATGGCTTTTTGTAAAACTTAATGTTGATAAAAGTGATTACTTATGAAGGATTTCAAGTGTGGCTTAAAAGGCGAGTGTGGCTTAAAAGGCGAGTAATTTGAAATATAATCTTTAACCTATATATATATATATATCTGTGTGTGTGTTTCCAAGTCATATCTCCTCTCTCTCACATATGAACAAAAGACAGCCTAGGTGCTTTGCCTTGGGAAAGGAAGCTTAGAAGCACGAGCTGTCTAGCTTTGTGCATGATACCCCTGACCCATGCCTTGGTTTGCCTGGTGCCTGGACATGTTTTTTAAACCTAACTGCGAGAGGGTGATAATGAATTTGTTCTCCACCTGAAATAACTAGTGAAGATTTGATTTTATTGAAGTCTGGTATGTCATAGTCTGATCTGATGTAATTATCTGACAAAGCTTTGACCGAATTTTTATACTAATGTATTAGAAGAATTATTAAGTGAGATCTTGTTACATTCTTCTCTCTGCATACTTTCCAAATATGTAGTTATCATAATTATTATGAGTGTGCAGATAAGATGTTTAGTATTAAGTACTAGAAGTTTTTATCGAAATCTGAGAAGTTCAAGTAAAAATTTTTAAAATAAGTTGAAGTGAAGAAGCTCAACATTTTAGTATTTAAGTATGATTGATGAACTAGAACATGGAATTTAAGAATTCATTCGGTATCACTGTAGTTTTTCAGTTTTTTTTTGTTTTGTGCAAGTATGATTGATGAACTAGAACATGGAATTTAAGAGTTCATTCGGTATCACTGTAGTTTTATTTATTTATTTTTATTTTTTTATTATTATTATAAAAAAAAAGAAAAAAAAAAAGCCATATGACATGATTTTGTGAAAAAATGAAAATTAGTCAAATTTATATCACAATTTTGAAAACTGACAACAAATACAAACTACTTTTTCTTGTTTCTTGTTTTTAGTTTTCAAAAAAACAGAATAAAAAAAGAATACAAATGAGCCCTGATAACTTGTAACTTGTTATAATACATTTTTGAGCTGATTTATCATGTTGTATCAAATTTTGCTATCATTGATTTGATAGCCAACATATTCTGTCACAAAGCTCCTGATTGGAGTGTCATGAGTCAGTTATCTTTTGTCTATGACACTAGTCCTTGTGTGCGTCATTGGCCCTTTTTTGTTTAAAGTTTGCTTTCATATACAGTATTGCTTTCGTACTCTTTGGCTTAGGAAGCGCGCTCCTTTCTTGGTTTTAAAAAGCGCCCCTAAGGCATGCCTAGGCACGCCTCGCTCCCTGGCTTTGGGAAATGCGCTTTAGCTAGGCGAGGCTTAGTCACCTACGGAAGGCGCGTGTCTCGTGCGCCTCAAGGAAAATAACTAAGATTGAAGTTATAAATTGAAGAATGGACATTTTTTCAAATTAAGACTACCTTAGCTTTACATATATCATTATTTAATTTATTATAAATCTTTTTAATTGGTATTAAGTACAAGCAAAGTAAAAAATAGTTTGAAATAAATATATACATACATGCACCTTGCATAGAAAAGGCGCGCGCCTTCGCCTTGCGACATGCTAATGTTAAATGCATTTGATAATCTTGAAATATAGTGTTTCATAATATTACATCAGTGAAATTCGTCGCGTTTACCTGAATGCAGGTGTACCTTGAACTAGTAAATAGTTACAGCAATGGGAATATCGCTGAGCTAGAGACATTTGTTCAGGTGAACAAGGACAGGTTTGAAGGGGTGAGTTATTAATATGGTGACTTGTGAGCTAGTCTTCATTATATACTTGATCAGTGGGAAGCGGGCTAAACTTTACAAACCTTTTCTCTATCTGTTTTCCAGGATAACAACCTTGGATTGGTGAAGCAGGTTGTTTCATCCATATATAAGCGAAATATCCAGAGATTGACTCAAACATACTTGACTTTATCTCTTCAAGATATAGCCAATACAGTGCAATTGAACAGTCCCAAGGAAGCAGAGATGCATGTTCTTCAAATGGTAAATTAGACTATTTATACAATTCTGGAGCCTTAATGGCTGTGGACATTTTAGACATTGCTGTTGTCATTTGTTATGCTTGGCTTGTCAGTTGTCACGAACATCTTTAGTTTTTGTAGGTCATCAAAAATAAATTATCTATTGTAAGCTTTCTTATGTATTTATTCATTCAAACACTAGTAATCTCTTTTTATCAGATTCAAGACGGTCATATTTATGCTACAATCAACCAGAAAGATGGAATGGTTCGATTCCTCGAGGAACCAGAACAGTATAAAACATGTGAGATGATTGAACACATAGATAGCTCCATTCAGAGGTATTTTCTTCAAATTATGTATATTTTTGTGATTTTGTCCAATGTCACAGTTGTTTGAGTTGTTATCAGTAGATCATTGCTGGTCGTTACATGTTATTGCCTTTATAGTTTTGTTTTTGGTATTATGCCTCTATGGTTTTGGTTGGCTGTAATTTTACACTATGAAATGATGAAGGGGAGTAGCTGAACTGCTGAAATTTGTAGTTGCTATCGTGCTGGCACTGCACAGTTCTGGTGTCTGTTAGTTTATGCTAAGATATTATTTGTTTTTCAGGCTTATCTCCGTAAGTTTCTGTTGTAATGTAGGGATTTGAACTGTCATTTGGTTCATAAAATGCTTGTCAATAACTCTTGAAATTCTTTTGAAGGATAATGGCTCTATCAAAGAAACTAGCTTCTGTAGATGAACAGATTTCGTGTGATCCACTGTACTTGGCAAAGGTAAATTTGATGTCTTAGTCTGTGTGAATATGCTGGTCTAACCTTAGTCCATCACTGCAACTAAATGATATGGATGACTGGCCTTGTGTACAACAGGTTGGGAAAGAACGGCAACGCTTTGACTTCGACGATTTTGACAGTGTGCCTCAAAGATTTAACATTTGAGTCGAAGAATCTACTATACATGTTGGAAGCTACATCCTGCTAAAGTCTGTGCATTTCTTGTAGGACAAAGGACAGATCAACTATTTAGATAGGACCTATATGATGCCAACTGAGTAAATAATATCCTTGTTTCAAATCTGATGAACATTTTTGTTGAATAGTCTCTTGCGTTTGCTTCCGTACAGTCAGTTACTACTGTGAAAATTCTATGTTGTCGGTGTTCCATTTAATGTTTTGCAATTAGGGGCCATTATGTACTTTTGAGTTTTCAAGATTATGTAATGAAAATGGGTGCCGTCTGAGTAGTTAGTCTACATGACTGTACCGGTTAGATAATTAGAATTGTCTAACAAAATTCAATTTTTGTTGGAAATTTTGAAAATAATCACCTCTCAAAATGCCCTGATTAGAAGTAATTGCCCTTTTTTGAATACTTTACATAACCATTTCTTAAAATTAGAAAATTAAAATAATTTTTTTTTTAAAAAAAAAAAAAAAGATGTCATCACCCATTGTTCAAGTAATTCCTATTCACTACACCCCCCTTTAGCCATTAATACCTACCCCTTCCTTGAAATTACAATAAAACCCTTACCACACCCCATTAACCATACAACCTGCACAGTTGCACTTACCCCCCACTAACTAACCACGGTAATTGCAAAAAAAAAAATCAAAAATATCATTTCAAATCCATTTTTGACAAATTCTCTCTCATCAAAACCAAAAAACTCGCAAGAAACTCACTACAAATTGCTTCAAAATTACTGCAAATTGCATCAAAAGTTCTAAAAATGTCTGACATTCGAGATTAAGTTCTTCAATCGCAACTAGATTCCAAAAAGAAGAGTAAGACTTTGTTCATTTTAGTAGAATTTTGAGTGTAAACCCTAGATTTGATGTTTTAATTTGTGTTTTGATATTCTAAAACAAAATCTACAATGATTACACTTATTTTTGTGCAAAATAAACTACAATCTACTATATTTGGTGGTATTTTTGTAGAAACGAAACAGAGAAGAACACTTCGAAGGTTCCGTCAGAGAAGACGGTTGCTAAACAAATGTTCATTTTCATTTTGATAGATGTTCATTATGATATTAGTATATGATCATTTACATTCTTACCTTACATCTACTAGGGTTCATTCTTGAGAGAAGATTACCCTAATTTTGTTTACGATCTTTACATATTAATGAATGTTTACTGGTATTTAAACATATGTTTATTTGAATGTAAATACGTACATGTTCATTATTATATTGAAAATATCCACATAAACTATAATAATACATGTTTAACTTCATATTAAATTATATGCTCATGAGCGTCATTTGAATAATATATTACATACATTTTAGCTCTAATATTGATAGATGCTTATTCGAGTTTGATATATAGAAGTTCATTTGGATATGTGTATATTCACACATATATTAATGTATGTTCATTCACATGTCAAAATATGTTCAAAAATAAATCACATATTGTTAATTCATCATAAACCTTTGATGATTCTATTTTAAAAAATGTTCAAAAATAAATCAGATATTGTCACTTACATTATGGAGCTATATAATTCTTAATTGATTTTTTTTTAAATTGTATAAACAGTGATGATGATGATATTCCTATTTAATCAAGAGTGAATAAAATACAATTGATCCTCAACTCTTAAAAGATATAATAACAAGTGTCCTTGTTGAAAAAGACATGTCTGCAATTGTAAGGTATAATAATCATTTATAATCATATATTATATGTTCATTTTACATGATGTTTTTTTGAAATTCTTTTGACACATATATATATGTCTATGATTGTTCATTTAAGTATACAAAAATGTTTATTTCACTAACACTTCGATATAGATTCTTTAGGTTCATGTAACATAATTGAAAGATAATGTTCATTTATGAAATTCAAAAATATTCATTTTAGTATGTAGTTTTGTTTATATGCGACCTAAATTATAAAGTTTCATTCCTCTGAAATAATTTGATCATATATGAAATTCAAAATGTTCATTTATATATAAAGTAATTTTCATTTTTAAATACATGTTTGTATTGGTTCATTTCATTATGCATATATGATCTTCTAGATCGAGAGTAAGGAAGACGATTCTAGAGACATGTAAGTGTGTAATCTATATGATTTGAAAGTGTTTATTTAATTAGTCACTTACATTAAAGAGTTTGTAATTGCTAATTGATTTTATTTTCTTTTAAAAAAAAATTGTGTATGAATAGAGATGACGATGATATTCTTATTCAATCAATAGTGGATAAAATACAAAAAGAGCGTCAAGCTAATTAAATCTCATATAGTTGATCCTAAACTTTTAAAGTATATAATAAGATCAAGTGGTCAGTCCCGTTGAAAAATATATGTATGCAATTACAAGGTATAATGATCATTTATAATAGACTATATGTTCATTTTGACATGACGTTATTCTTAAAATTCTTTTGATATGTGTGTGTGTGTGTGTGTGTTTATGGCTATTCCTTTAAGTATACAAAATATTTATTTGAATAACACTTTGATATAGATTCTTCAAGTTTATGTAACATAATATAAAAATAATGTTCATTTATATATAGATTTGTGAACACGTATATTCTAAATTCTATATAAAAATTTATATATGCTCATTTTATTTGGATACAATGATCATTTATATAAAAAATAATGTACATTTTTGTTATGCCAATTGAACATTTATTAAATATGTAATATCAATATAACGTTTATATATATATATATATATATATATATATATATATATATATATATATATATATATATATATGCATATACAAACACGGTTTATATTGTAGTGATGTTTCATATAGGGTAGGTGATCGAAACATAAACTAAAATTTAGAGATGAAAATTCTAAACCATACTTATAATTATATTCACATTATAATTTGTTTGGATTACATATAAACCAAATCAGGAAGCTGAGAATACAGTACATTGCTCAATTGATGCTATTTCCGGAAAATACAGAAGCTAGAGGCAATAGAAGAAGAGCAAAGAAGATTTATGGAAGCACAAATTACTAAAAATATTGATCTTTTCAAATATATGTTCATTTATGGATTTCTAAATGATCAAGTACATTAATATTCATATTTTTTTAATTCATTAGTATAATTATTGGAATGAAAATGTTCTTCAACAAGAATTTATATGTTCATTATCATAATATTTTATGTTCAATTACATAACAACTATAACAAAATGCAATAAAATGTTCATAACCAAAAGACAAATGCTCATTGCTAAAACTAAATATGTTTGATTACATATCAGTTATTAGAAAAAGTTTAAGCTCTAACAATATAGTATATTGTTTCCATCCAAATTCTTAATTATTATTGTTTGCCAACCTATTCGCTACCTTAGTATCAAAAAAAGCTAACAACCTATCATACTTAGAAGAAATATGTAAACTACCACATTAATTAAACACTTTGAATTGAACATCTCTTGAAACACTTGGAGGCCGGAACTTTGAAAGCACATTTAAAGGAACTTGATATTTCTTGAATCACTTGAAGGAACTTGGCACAAACATTTCTTGAATCACTTGAAGAAACTTGGCCTTTTTTTGGAGCCGTTGGAGGATGTTGATTAATATGATTCAAAATGATCATTGCACCTTTCATAAACTTCTTCTTCCTTACCAAGCAACACATATTTAGTTACTTCAATTCTTTACAAAGAATTTCATCATTATTACCCACTGCACACAAATGAACATAATTAGTAACATATATGTACAAGTACAAAACAATAAACAATAAAAATCTTAAAGATCATTTAGCATTTATCAAAATAAAAAAAAACAGCAAATTATAGTAATTACAATAAAAATAAATTACTGATTATCAAAATATTTCATGTAAATAATAATACCACAACATGTGCATTAGCATAAATGAATATGATCATTTAGCATTATCAAATTGATCAAAATAATGTACAACTCTAATCAATGATTTGATATGTCCATTTTATATAGTGTTTTATCCCCGTTCCCTTGGTCGTTATTAGTAGTGTTTTTGGCTCTTTCAGGCCACTTTTATTACTAATTTGTGTGTTCTAGTGTTTTCGTAGTTTTAGTTGTATTTTACAGGAAATTGCACTTTTGGAGCATTTTCCCGGGCTTTATGGATCGACTACGGAAGCTAGAAGGACACGACCACTCTTGAAGCCCAGGATCGGTGAGAGCCGGTGATTAAGGGCTCGGTATGTGATACCGGGGCTATTGGATCAATTAATCAAGACCCGATGAGGAAATCCAGATTGGGCCGAGGAATCGAGCCCAATCGAAATCCAAGCCTCAGAGAAGAAGCCGGGCCCGATCGGGCGAGTGCACGCAAAAGCAAACCTCAGGAAGAAGCGCGCTCGATCGGGTGAGCGTAGGCTTGATCGGGCGCAGCATACCAAGCAACAGGGTAAAGTCGTATCCCCTAATCAAAAAATAATTACCTAAATCACTAACTAAAGTAGATAGGGAAGTAGGGTCGAACTCCACAGGGAAACAGGTCTTTTTAATTCTAATTAATTATTATAATCTAAATTATCTAAGTAACCAATATTTTTAGGTATGAATTCTATACTACGAAGAATAAGTTTAGGGAGAAAAGAAACAATAATAAGGAAGCCTAGGGTCACAGGTTCACCAATAATTAATATTCCGGGATAGAACGAAGTAATTAATAATTAACAATGCACAGATAACATGATTAACAGGCTCTCGCAATTTATTAATCAACATAGATCTAACAGGCTCTCGCAATTTACTAGACCTAAGTTCCTATTAAAATTAGCCTTTAATATTAAATCAACATTTGCTCGATTCATCAATTCAATATCGCTAAACATTCACAATCAAATTACATATGCTCGATTCATAATCTAATTGTAAAGAATTAAAACAATTCAATAGGAAATTATCATGCAATATCAATAATCAATAATAACAAACTATCCCTTCATATTAATTAGGGATCCCCATAAACCCTAGAATGAAACTACTCACTAATCATCATAACTAAGCCAACCAAGTAAATAATTAAAAGCATAATCAAGAAAAGCAATTAAAATAGCTGAAATTAAAAGGGAAGAAACTGTACCAAAAATAAATCTGGAATTAAAGGAAGTATTAAGAACAAAAGTTTTGAGAGAATTTAAGAGAGAGAAAAATACTAAGTAGAGAGAAAAAGTCTAAGAAAGAAGGTAATCCCAATTTTTCGTACATAATCGTACTTAAACACTCCTAAAACAAAAACTAAAACAAAACTAATCAGCTACTAAGA